AGGTCTGAGTCTACCATCATCGACCTCCCCAGATGGGTGCAATATCATCATTATGTATGTATATACCCGCCCGCCCCTCCACCTGCCCAATACCCTATTACTGTAGTACCTATGTGTCCACTTAGGTGTACTCAGTTAATACCAGTTTGCTGGAGGATATATCTGGTGCTTGTTTTTCCATTCTTGGGATACTTCACTTAGTAGTATGGGTTCCAGCTCTAACCAGGAAAATATAAGATGTGCTATATCACCATGTTTCTTGAGCTGAATAGTACTCCATGGATACTCATATACCACATTTTATTAATCCATTTGGATTGATGGGGCCTGGGCTGTTTCATCAGCCTTGCAATATGAATTGTGTAGCTCGGTAAACCATTCGAGTGCAGTGTCTTTTTCTGTCAGAGTTCGTCATTGATCATTTGGTAGATGCCCAGCAATGGATCTGCTGGATAAATGGTGATTCACTTGTATCGCTTTTAAGTATCTCCATATGCTTTCACAGAGGTTGAACTAGTGCAGTCCTCCAGCAGGATTAGGAGTGCCCTCTCACTACGCAACACGCGCATTTATAGTTTGGAGATTTTTGATAAAGGGCATTCTCACTTGGGGTTAAGTGAGTATCTCATTGTGGGTTTGATTGCACTTTCCTGATGATTTAGAGATGTGACATTTTATATGTTTGTTGGCGGCCATTTCTTCTGATTTCTTTAGAAAATTTCTGTTCAAGTCCTTTCCACTTTTTAATTGGGGGTTATTGATTTTTCTTCCTGATTTCATGATGTCTGAAGATATCATTCTAGTCTATCAGATCCTTATCGGACTGAATAGGGATGCAAAAATCTTCTCCGATTTGTAGGTTGTCTGTTTACTTTTCATGGATACTATTCTTTTGGCTGTGCAGAAGCTTTGTAGTTGATCAGTTCTCATTTATTTTTTTTGTGCTGGCTGTGATTGCCTTTGGGGATTCTTCACTAAACTCTTTTGCCCAGCTGATATCTAGGAGAGTGTTTCACACCTTTTTCTCTAGATTCAATGTTCATACCTTAGGTTTGAGTCTGTCTACCCGCTGAGCTTGGTTTGTCTGAGAGGTGAAAGGTGTGGGTCCTGTTTAGCTTCTACAGGTGGCTTATCCAGTTTTCCCAGCACTATTTATTGGAAAAGGGATTCTTTTCCCCAGGTCGTATGTTTTGTCTGCTTTGTCAAAATTAGATGGCTATATGAGATGGTTTAATATCCTGGATTCTACATGGCTGTTCCACTGGTCGATTCCTATTTGTGCCAAATCATATGATTTAATTACTACAGCTTTGTAGTTAGTTGTATCTGCAATTAATGCCTCCATTTTGTTTTTGTGCCTGATATGCTCTTAATTTTGGGCTTTTTAGGTTCCATACGAACGTAAAATATTTTTCATATTCTGTGCAGTAGTGTATATAATATATGCACTGATTGTAATCACAGTGTGAAGTATAGACTATTTTTGATGATATGCGAGTACTGTTCCGATCCATGAGCACCTCTAAGGGTCATGGATTAATCATTCTAGATGATTAAATCCTCTGTCTTTCGCTCAGTGTTTCATATCTCCCTGTAGATGGGTCCTTAACAGTCCTGGATTTATAACGCTCTATTTGCCTCAATCAAAGATCACCTCCTATACAATGTGTCATTCCTTAGATATGGCTATGTGATACCGCGTAATTGAGTCATAGATATTAGGTTCTCATGAAATTACAATATGTAAAGAGTTGTGCGCCAAATCTTCACTTTAAAGAATTGGCTCTGATTTCTCGTTTATGAATTATGTGAATATAGGTCTGACTTACTTTACTTACCTAAAATTTCATTGACGAATTCGGTAGAGAATGAATATTCATGGATCTCGACATATAATTGAGTAGTAAATTTACTGCATAGACCAAAATATCAATAAGTGCGTAACCCAAACTCTCGTGAAAAAGATTTCCGTTCCTATATCCCCAAGCGAAAAGGGGTCTCAGGTACCCCTCCTTCCGGCCCTCGTCCGCTGTATGCTCGTCTTCTTGCTTCTTTCCTCTAATTTCTGCTAGAATCTGTCTTTTCTGCAGAGACACTCTGTCTGGCGGTGTTATTCGTCTGCCATCTTGCTCCACCCAGGTTCTGGCTTTTTTAACTAAAGAAGAAATCATTGTGGGGTGTCCCTTTGAGAATAGTTCCAAGGGAAGGTAACTCTTGTTAACTTGGTAAAGTGATATTAAACAGAATGCTGGAACAGAGATTTTCCATAAACTCTGCAGTCATTACATGTTCAAATTGTGGTAATAATGTGACGTTCGTTCTTTCTAAGAAAGGAGCACGCAGATCCTGCTATGAGTTACTTGAGAACAATTGTTGTCTCATAATTTGAAATTTCCCTGTTTCCTCAAGGGGCAAAAAAAATATCACTAAATAAATGGAGAATGTTAAAAAGGGGGATTTCACTAAGGATTTATTAGAATAAGGGTGAATTCCCAAAAGCAGAAATTCTGCCTTAAATGACATGCCTTCTAAATTTTGATCAACATTGTCAAAACACCATTTAAAAAGTTTTTTAAATTTATATTCTCACATGCTTTTATTACCCCGACTCTCCCAACACACATATATCTGTGCGTATACAAACATATGCACTCATACATGTACACACACACATTCTCATCCTGGATAATATTAATGTTGTGATTATGAAAAACATAATCTGTAAAATAGGGTAGTTTAATTTTAAATTGCATTCTTAAATTTTAAATGAGTTTTATCATCACATATTTCTTTTACTTACGATTTACCTGCCTAAGAATTTTTTTAAAGCATCTTCTCAAATCAAAGTATGTAAATCATCTCATGATGGATAAATATGAAAGGAGGTAAGTCCAAATTCCCTTTGAAAAAAAAGTATCTTTTCCTTCAGACTGCTCGGATTTTTACTACACGTAAGTGCATCGTGACTCCCCAAGAAGCGATTGGAAGAGAGAAGTTTGGTGGACAAATCTTAATTTCACACTCCTCTTCTTCTAACTTTCTTACTGCAACAGCTTATAGTGACTCTACCCTTGGTTCCTAGATGCTATGAAAAATATTATTTGTGAGCATTTATTATTGTGTGTTAAATTTATAAAGTAAACAATTATTTATTGCTAAATATATTAATTATACAATTGTGGTATATATTTGTCATTAAGAACTTAGATGATCACAAAAAAAGAATTAGCTAAAATAGATAACAGTATAGTAGGCTACAAAGGTGACTGTCAATAATTCATCCTCTCTCTAGACAAGCAAGCTGCTCCTCGCTTCAACAGTGAAGACTATCTCCTCTCCTCTTGACTCCAGTTGGCACTGTGACTTGCTGTGATCTATAGGATATGGTAGAAGTGATGCTACGCAAGTTCTAGGCCTGCCTATTAAGAGATCTGGTGACTTCTGCTTTTACTTGTTTACGGAGTGAAGCCAGGGTTGGGCCATAATATAAAAGAGAGAGAGAGAGAGAGGCCCCGCCAGTGCACAACCAACCTGGATGAGGTGACCAACATGTAAGGGAAACCATCTTGGATATCTCATAAGTAGGAGAAGCCATCTTGGATATCCTATATGTAGAAGAAGCTTTCTTGGATATCCCATAAGTAGGGGAAGCCATCTTGGATATCCCATATGTAGGGGAAGCGTCTTGGACATCCCACATGTGAGGAAAGCCATCTTGGACATCCCAGCTCAAGTTAAGCTCCTAGCAGATTTCAGTCACACAATAGATGCTACTTAGTACCATGTGAAGAGGAAGAACTACCAACTGAGCCCAACTAACCTGCAGAATCATGAAAAATTAAATAGATAACTAAAAGAGAGACTACAACAGTACCTAAACGCTAAAGTAGGGTCTACAATAGTACTCAGAGACAAAATCACATGAAATGTAAAATGAAAACCAATCATCAAGACAGGGGAGCTCAGTATAGGTGGATGAGGGAGGGCCCAGACCAATGGGGAGTACAGAACTCTTATTCTGGACCTGTGTTTCCAATAGAACTTTCCATGATGATGGAAATGTTCGTATGCGGCTACTGAGCACTTGACATGTGACTCACAGTGTATCTGTGGCACTGAATTTTAAATTTCATTGAATTTTAATGAATTTGCATTTAAATTTAAATAACCACATGTGGCTAGTGACTTCAACATCCAATAGTGCAGTTACTGCGTTTCATTTAGGCCTCTACCTTGATGAAGGGATAAAAGTCTCCAACAATTCACTTCAAAATTGTGTCTTCACTATGTGCATTCCCCTCAGAATCTTATAGTTCGATCTTGGTTCACTTGAGTCACAGAGGGCTGTGTAGAATTATCATACAATCTGTCAGCATCTCCATATGCAGATCCAAGAATCAGAAGGAGTGGGTCCCCGTCATCTCTGAGTAAATAGAGATGGAACTGGGGTAATCCTTTAACAACAATCTGCCTCTACATTTTATTCTAAGTCTACAAATAGTCTTGAGATAAAAGCACCTATTATAACAAAAATTTCTAAGGACTTTAATTAATGTATTTAAAATTCAAACCCAAATTTATATATATGTAGGCTGTATTCCCCAAACTTCTTTCAAGACCAAATAGAAATGTTTTGGCTAGGGGACCTCTATTAACCTCTTGCAGCAGCAATAGTGTGCATTTTCGGAAAGCTCTTTTAGAAAACTACAGAAGAATTTTTATTAAACTGGGCTAAATGTCATAATGAAATATTGAAAATTTCAGCCATGAATACTACATAACTTTCCAACATCAATTCCATTTCCTTAATTAGAAAATTAATCACTTCAGATTATTAAACAAATATGAGGCAAGATTAAAATGATGATTTTCATTTCCTTATAGGTTAATTTTTAAATATTTAACAAAAATAGAATAATACTCTTCTCAGGGAAGGCAAGATTGTAGCTGAGATTTAATTTAATTATATGGTAACTAGGCTCCAAAATTTTCAAACACTGTTTTAAACATTCCTACCTCCTGAAGGCAATATTGACATTTACATGAATAAAATCATTTTTCTATACCCGCCTGGCAATGAGCCAGGATTTTGTGAAGAGCCAAGGACAAATAACTATTTCAAGGGCTCTTTTTGCTAGAGAGAAATTCTTGCTTTCTTAGGAGAATAGAATTTGTTCTGCTCCACTGTCTAATTTAACACCACTGAAATTGAAAATGCATTATTTCCACTTCCTATGAGTCCTAAAAAGATTCTCCTACCTTCCAGAATTTGTTCCAGTTGGATCGTCAAGTTAAGGTAACCAGCAAATCACTCCAGTCACTGAAGGATTTGGTTAAAATGTGCGAAGAAATCTCCCAAATTCCTACTCATGGAATTATCATGGATAGCAGTCCTCAAAGACCATCTTCCTCTAAGGTTCTCATCCTGGACACATATTAGAATAACTGGTATAAGGTGCAAGCCTTTTAAAAAATGCAGATTCCTGGGCCCCACCTCAGACTACTCTCAGTGGGGAGAGAGGAGTAGGAGGGCTAAACATAGATACCCTTAAAGCCACTAGGGAGATTTAATGATGATAACACCATTCTGCTCTCTGTTTTACAGACTTGAGAACTTTACCGTTTCAGTTCTTCATAAGACCATCAGAATGCAGCTGTCTGAACGCGTGGTGGTTTACAAGCTTGTATACAAGTCACCATGGTTACCAGGTATGTCTCTAGGGCCTCCTCAGGGCTGAAAGGAGACAGTGAGGAAAGGGTAGATCCTGATCTCCCCTCAGAGAACCACTCCTATCTTTGTATTGAGTTTCTAGATATTTGTTTGAAAAAATGGTTCCACTGCTGAAGTATGCCAAGTCTGAGAAATCACTCCTCTAAAAACGTGAACACAATGTGAATAATGTTCATGTCTGAGATGTTTATCAAAGTATCTTAGGAGCCAGACACCAGTTCAACTATTATTGAAATGTAAAAACACTTAAAAGAACAGAAGAGTGTTTATTCTTAAGTCATATTTTCTTCAGGTGTTTGATGAGCTCTAAGGAGATACGTGGCTCAAATATTTGCACCCATGAAAAATCCAGGTAAGAATCTCGGGACAGAAGTTTTCAAAATTAAAAAAATTGTTTTTTTTTTTTTTGCAACTTCCATTATCTCTAATTTATGTCCCATTACCCTGATATCTAATATTAAAGGTATCCTTTCCCTGCCCATGCTGTGCCTAATCTGGGGGGTTTAGGCAGTTCCAAGGCATCAGAGAGGGGCCTGGATCTTGGTGCTTGTCTGTCCTCGCTGGCATCTTTTGAGATACCCTGTGTCCCACCCAGCCTCAGGTATGAGTACATGAAGACCCCTTTTATTCCCCACCATAAAGCCTCTTAGGCCAAGCTTTCTATCAATGGCTTTTGCCCATATCTTGGTCTTTCAGGAAAGCATTCTGCTGCCCCTCTTATAACCCTGGGTGTCAGGGACCATGCAAGGGTGTCTCGGGCTCCTCTCTTCAGATACCCATGCTGCCAAGAGGGAACCCGTGAAGCTTCCCGCCCTCCTGGCTCCACGCTGAAAATGGGGCACAGCTCTTCTCTGCTCCTGGATCCCCAAAGCTTTCTCCAGGATCAGTCCCAGCACAGGGTCCCTCTCTGGAAAACATCAGTGTCTAGGTATTATGATGACTCTTCTTTCTTAAGATTATAATGGGGGTGGAAAAACTCTTCAACTGAGAACATTTTCTTCCAAAACTATTATTCTATTCTAAAGTCTTCAAAATCCAGGCTCTTGCAACTCAAAACACCTTTTTTCCTAAGACAATTGTTTGCAAGGGCCTATTTTAAAACCGAAGTGCAGAGAATTTCCTGCTTGTTCTTTCTTTCTTTTGTGTCATCACTTCTCAGAAGCTGCCCCAATAAAGGTGAGGAGAGTCACAGGAGACAAAGGAAGACAGGGGAAAAGCATAGCAATTCATACATCAATGTAGTATCTTTCTACACCTGCACATTAATCGTTTGTGATGAATTATTTGACCTCCCTTCAAAATTCTGCATATCTTCTCTAGCCAGGACTGGCTACGTAATTTGAGAAGCCTGGAAAACAAAAAAAAACGTGGGGCCCTTTCTTCAAAAAATTATTACCAATTTCAAAATAGCTATCGCATAGCCTTAAGCCAAACATAGAGCTCCTCTGAACACAGTGACTCTGTGTGACTCAGGAAGTTGACCCTGTTTCTAACTCTTAAAGTATGCCTTTTATGATTTTATTGGGATGTTATTTATGCAGTCATCCATCGATATTCTTGGGGATTGGTTCCAAGCCCTCCCTTCCTCCCAGATGTCAAAATTTGCAGATGCTTAAGTCCCTATATAACATGGTATGATATTTGCATTTAACCTACACACATGTTCCTATATACTTTAAATCATCTCTAGATTACTTATAATAGCTAATAAAATGCAAATGCTATGTAAATATATATTATACTGTATTTTTAAAATTTCTATTATTTTTATTGCTTATTCTTATTGTTTTATTGGGGTTTTTTTTCCAAATAGTTTTGATCCCTGGTTGGTTGAATCTGCAGATGCAGAAAATTATCAAAATAATTTTTAAAACTAAGTAAAACAGGGCAAAAAGCAAAAGGAATTAATAATATAAATTACAGAATATAATAGATATCTATGCAATTTTTTATAATCATGTAGGGATATTAAATGACATGGATAATATTATCATGATTCTGAATATTGGAAACTTTAGCATTTCTGCCCTGACCACACCCTGTTGTCAGGGAAACAGCCTCACCCCCCCCCCCAATGCCGTGCAGCAGCCAGGAAGATAAGGCCCTGTTCCACCCCATGGCTCCTCTCTCCAGTGAGGCTGATTGGCTCAGGGTAAGTAACATGTTGATCCAAGAGCAACCAATCAGTGAACTTGCCAGAAACCTAGTACCTGTATGGTCTTGATAGAATAATGAACAGGGCACAGTTTGAAATTTGCACTAAAAACTCAAAAAGTAGGAGACAGACAATGGTTAAGAAGCTCAGTGACATGGTCACAAAGTAGAGTTGAAGCATGAAGAGCCTCTAGGAAGTAGTCAACTGAAAGTATGGGAAGAGCAGAAATTAAGAATAAGCAGAGAAAGCGTATTGGAGGCAGGGCAAAAAGAACATAGATGGAGGTTAGCCAGCCTTCTTGTAAACACAGCTCTGCAACAAGAACACAGAGCTTCTGTTGCTGAGGTCTTGGGCGCTGCTTCAGATACAGAACCACACTGTAGCCCAGCTTGCCAAGGGGCTCACCCTAACTTGGCCTCTGCTCTTGGATTTCCAAGTCAATGTCTTTATCATTCCTTGCAAATTTTTCCAATAAGTCCTTTGCATGGACTGGCATCAGGCAGTCTCTATCTTACAACTGTTATGAAAGAGTATGTAGACTATACATCCAATTTTATTTTTTTAGTGTGTGCTTACATGTGTGAATGGATGTGAAGCAGTGCCACATACTTATCAACAGTATTCTTAGGTGTACAAAGATTATGCGACTTCTTGATTTCTCCACTAACTGTTCTGCTCACATAAAAGCTGCTTCTCACTGGTGTCTGGGACAATTAGACTTGGCAATGTTCCAGTTCGCTATGACATAAATGTCTCCATCCACTCAATCCCCTAGATTTTTGTTAAAGATATACCTGTATGTGCACAATATAGCATCTTTGTAAGGCTATTTATTGCACTATTATTTGTAATAGCAAAAGTTTATCACTTTCAATAAAGAGTTTAAAAAATTATGAAGCAGGCTTATAATGAAATGTTCTCCAAAAAAAACCAAAGAATGGGTACACAATATACTGTGCAGATATGGAAATCCTAATGACATATTTTAAGTGGAAAAATATGATCTTTCTGTCTTTGTGATGTAGGCATTTAATGCTATAAACTTCCCTCCTAGCACTGCCTTTGCTGTATCCTAGAGGTTTTGATAAGTTGTGTCACTATTATTATTTATTTAAAAAAATTTTTAATTTCCATTTTAATTTCTCTATTGTCTCAAAAATCATTTAGGAGCAGGTTGTTTAACTTCCAAGTATTTGCATAGTTTTGTGAGTTCCTCTTGGAATTGATTTCTAGTTTTATTCTGCTGTAGTTTGAAAAGATACTTGATATGATTTAAATTTTTAAAAAATTTTTGAGACTTATTTTGTGGCCTAACATATGGTCTACCCTGGCAAATGTTCCATATGCTGATGAGAAGAATGTATATACTGCAGTTGTTGGGTAGAATGTTCTGCAAATGACTGTTAGGTCCATTTATTCTAGATTCCCCTAACGTCTAGTGTTTCTTTGTTGATTTTCTGCCTTAATGATCTGTCTAGTGCCATCATGGAGTATTGAAATCTCCCACCATTATTATATTGTTGTTTATCTCTTTTCTTAGGTCTAGTAGTACTTGTTTTATGAATCTGCGTGTTCTGGTGTTGGGTGCCTATATATCTAGGATTGTTATATCTTCTTGCTTAATTGACCCCTTTATCATTATGTAATGACCTCCTCTGTCTTTTTTTACTATTGTTGATTTTAAGTTTGTTTTATCTGATAATAGTATAGCTACTCCTGCTTGCTTTGATTTCCATTTGCATGAAATATTTTTCTACTGCTTTCCCTAGACTTTATAAAAATCTTTACAGTTAAGTGAATCTTTTGAAGGCAGCAGAAAGATCACAAATCAACCTAACATCACACCTCAAGAAGCAAGAAAAATAAGACCAAACCCAAAGCTAGCAGAAGAAAAGAAATAACCAAGATCCAAGAAGAACTAAATGAAATTAAACCCTTCCCAAAATGCAAAGGATCAATGAAATGAAAAGTTGGTTCTTTGAAAAGATAAATAAGTATTATAGAGCCTAGATAGATTAACCAAAAAAAGAAAAGAGAGGATCCAAATAAGCTCAATCAGAAATGAAAAAGACACCTTACAACTGATATCACAGAAATACAAAATATCATATGAGACTTCTATAAACATTTCTATGCCCACATACTAGAAAATCTAAAGGAAATGGATAAATTTCTAGAAGCATATAACTTTTGAAAATTGAATTAGGAAGAAGTAGAAATTCTGAACAGACCAATAATGAGCTGGGAGATTGAATCAATAATAATAATAAAAAATCTCCCAACAACAACAGTGACAACAACAACAAAAGACCAGGACCAGCTGGATTCACAGCTAAATTCTACCAGACATACAAAGAAGAATTGGCACCAATCCTACTGAAACTGTTCCAAAATATTGAGAGGGAGGGGATAAGCATAAATGTAAAAATCCTCAACAAAATACTAGCAGACCAAATCCAACAGTACATCAAAAAGATAATACACCACAATCAAGTGGTCTTTATTTCAGGAATGCAAAAATGGTTCAACATAAGCAAGTAAAAAATGTGATTCACCACATAAACAGAATTAAAAATGAAAACCATATGATCATCTCAATATATGACACAAAAAAAGCATTCAATAAAATCCAGCATCCCTTCATGATAAAAACCCTCAACAAACTAGGCATAGAAAAAGTAGACCTCAAAATAATAGAAGCCATATATCCAAACTCACAGCCAACATCACATTGAATGGGGAAACGTTGCAAGCATTTCCCCTAAGAACTAGAACAAGACAAGGATGCTTACTTTCACCACTTCGATTCAAACTAGTACTGGAAGTCCTAGCCAAAGCAATCAGGCAAGAGAAAGAAATAAAGGGCATTGGAATTGGAAGAAGGAAGTCAAATTATCTTTGTTTGCTAATGATATGATCTTATACCTAGAAAATCTAAAGACTTCTCCAAAAGACTCCTAGATTTCCTAAATGAATTCAGTAAAGTCTCAGGTCACAAAATCAATCACAGAATTAAGCATTTCTATATACCAATAATGATGAAACTGAGAACCAAATCAAGAATTCAATCCCGTTTATAATAGGGGCAAAAAAAAAAATAATAATAACCCTGGGAATACATTTAACCAAGGGGATGAAAGATCTCTACAAGGAAAACTACAAAGTACTAATGAAAGAAATCATAG